CTGCCGAAGCTGCGGCAAGAGTTGTAAGATTGGCAGGTTATGGACGCCACACCAAAGAAGAAAGAGCTGCCACACTCATTCAATCATACTATAGAGGATACCTAGTAACACTATTTCTATTTTGCTTTTCTATTGTTTTCGACTATTTTCTTCTTTTAATTAATTTTCAAATATGATGAATACATTTTGAGTTTTTACAAGCCAACAAAACATAAGAAGTGGTATTATTTTTTTAATTTAAATTAAAATATTATTTCTTTTAGTAATTTGTACTTATATTTAATAAAATTATTTATTACACATATTATTGATTTAAAACTTAACTTCAATTCTAATCAAAGAATAACAAGTTGTTGTACCTAAAATTTGTCCCTTTTTAACACACTTTCTGTATTAAAATTTATTAAATTTTGTTAATCACTTCTTAATTATTTAATAAATTTTACTCTGGATTTTATAATGATAAACAATAAGAAAAAGTGTTATAAAAGTATGTTAGAAAAATAAATATGTATATTAATTTTATTAGTTCACTCTTATTTCTTATTCTCTCTAAAGTTATATATAAGTAAAATGTTTAAATTTTTAGATTAAAATGTAAATAAATTTTATTAATGTTAATTTTATTTAATGTTCTTAATTTAAAAATATTCATACAATAATAAATGGAAGTATTGTCTATCATAAATGTAATTAATAATATTTTAAGAAATGTAATGTATATTTTATATAAAATCATAAAAATTAAGTACATTTAATAAATTTTCTTAATTTATGTGAAATTAGTTTTATTTGCTCATAGTTAACCCAAGGGGTAGGTCAACAAAATTTTTGCTTAAGACTCCCTTAAAAAAATTATTTAATATTAATATTTATAAAACTTTTTCAAAGTTTTATAACTTCAAATTTGTTTTTTACACTTTTGAAAATTCCATTTAAAAGATTTATTTTTAAAAAATAAGAAAGTATAATTATTTTATTCAAGTCCACTTTCTCTTTTTATTAAAAAATATTATTATTAATTTTAAAAATTTTTACTTTAAAATTTTCTTTACATAATATGTTAAGTTAGTCCTGTATTTCCTTATATAAGATTGGGAGAGAATATTGGATTATATATTGCTTGAGTCTTAATGATCACAAACCAAAATAAGAAGTTAATAAGAAGTTACTCGTTCGGTACGTGTCATAAATATGTCACCTATTTCCGTTAGTGGAATTTAGTGCATGTCTTCATAAGGAATGATTTTTTTTTTTGGTAACATCTTGTTTATTTTTGGTAACGTTCTCCATAAGGAATGTGTAACATATTTTAAACTCTTATTATATATATATATATATATATATATATATATATATTATATTTGTAT